GCTCCCCCGCCTGCCTGCTGACCAGCAGCGAGGCCGAGCAGCAGCGCAAGTCCAAGGAGATCGACAAGTGCCTGAACCGCGAGAAGACCTACGTGAAGCGCCTCGTCAAGATCCTGCTGCTGGGCGCGGGCGAGAGCGGCAAGTCCACCTTCCTCAAGCAGATGCGGATCATCCACGGCCGCGAGTTCGACCAGAAGGCGCTGCTGGAGTTCCGGGCCGTCATCTACGAGAACATCGTCAAGGTGCGGTGGGGCGGGGGAGCCCCGGGGTGGGCGGAGGGGACCGGGGGGGCACCCTGCTGCCGAGAATGGGGCGCAGCAGCAGCTGGAGTTCGGGCCGACCCGACAACGCCCCTCCCTCCCCCCAGGGTGGGGCAAAGGTTGGAAGGGGACCCGCGGCAGCACAGTCTTACAGGGCTGGTGGAGTTGTGGGCTGCCATCTGACTGCAGTCAACCCGTCGGGGCTGCTGGGTGTGCCATGTGTGAGGGTAGCCTAAAGGTGAGTTGGGCTACAGGGCCTACTAGGTCTCTGGATCATCATCCAACAGGTTGGCCTTAAAGGCCGAGGATGATTATGGAAAAGTCTTGGAGACTGGGGGCAAGATCCAGGTGGTGTCTAGGTGTGGTGTCTGCTCTGGAAAACCCTGATGTAAGCACCCTCAGAGTAGTTAGAGACCCTCATGTTTGGAAAAAGGCAAATGAGAGGGAGATGAGGATCTCCACCCTGAGGAGTGGGTGTTGCGGGTTCTTTCCTAAACAATGACCCTGAAGATGAGGGGAGGTCCCTTATACTGTGTTCATAGTTTTTGAAGCCTGTAATTGGGGAACATTTTGAAGAGAATAGGAGGCACTTGATACCAAAAGCCATGGAGACCTATATGGAAGACTGCTCCAAGGCCCATCAAGAGCATTATGAGTGATGGCCTCAGAATGAGCACCCTGGTTGGTTTGGCGTTTGGGGGAGAGGAGCCTTCAGTCAGTGCTTGCATTTTTATTGTGCAGAAGCCAGCGCTCTGGGGCGTAGAGCGTGAAGACTTCTTGGTGAGAAGAGAGAAAGGTTGCTGTAGTTCAAGGCCGTGCTGTACAAAAATATCTTCAAGATTCAGAGAGTGTAGGGTAATTGACTGTAAAGGCCAAATCTGCTTGGGTGCCTTAGGTGTTCTTTATAATAACCAAGTGCTAGTCATCTCTTAGTTAGAATAATCCTGCAGGTGCATAAAAGCTGGGATTTGGAAAGGGCAGATCACCAAAGGAATCTAAGTAGCCTTTGTGCACAGAAAAATGGATAAGTGGTGTTCATGGGGACTATTTCCGATATTCTCTATAACGGTGCTCCACTGAGGAAAGATGCTCACCTACATTAGAAGAGTAAATCCATATTTTTTTAAAACGATATCTGTACATAGACCTGTACAAGTGAGGAACTTTGTAGTTGCTCTGGGAGTTACTGCATGTCCCCTTCCTTGATTTTTTTGCATAATCTAAGATAAGGAAAATAGCTTTCTTATCTTAATATGTGCTTCCAAGGATAACTTTTTATAACACTGCTCTCTTTAAGCAAGTTAAACAAGTGACTCTTGCAGTCAAGAACTCCTTCAGAAGCTTCCTTCAGAAACTTCCCCTTTCATTCAAACTGAATGGGAAGACCATTCATAGCTTAATTCTGCTATCTCAGTTCCTTTAAGAAGCACTACAAAACGAGGCAAATCACTGAAAATGGATGGTAGGATAAGGGAAGGGAAAAGGAGTTTGCCATGGTAGTAAGTGCCATATATTGGCTTTATATGCCATTGCAGCAGGAAGTAGTAGTCCCATACAATGCACAAGGAGCACTCAGACCACTAAATCCATTGCTTTACAACTTGCTTCCTTCTCTTAGTCTTCCAGAATGAGGGAGGAGGGAAGAAAGAGAAGGTGTGACTTAAGTTTCAGGTATACCCAAAAGTGAGTAGTTTGAATCTTGGGCTAAGTCTGCACTGGGTCTTCACAATGCTGTTAATTTCTGGCTCAACAGTGTGAAAAAACATTTGAAACCCTCCTCTCCCCAGTGGAGTAAGTTGCCATGCTGTAAAGCCCTAGTGTGAACCCGGGTACAGCACTACTCCCTTCATGGAGGTGGTTTGCACAGAGTGCTGGGAGAGCTGTCTCCCAGTGTTTGTACTACAGTAAACTTCGGATAATCCGCACCTTTAGGACCCAGGGGGTGCCGGATTATCAGATATTCCGGACTATAGGAAGGAGGGGCTATGAGGGGTCTGGGGTGGAGTTGGGGGGATGCGCCCCTTGGTGCTGCGGGACCAACCCGGCAGCCCCCCAGCTGCTCTGCCCCAGGCTTCCCCGAGTCAGCCTCTGGTCATTTTCAGCAGCGGCTGAATTGAGAAAGCCGGGGGCAGAGCAGCTCCAATTGTCCAGCTGCCCGGAGCACTTCTGGGTTCCAGATGGTGCTGGACCATCAGGAGTGCCGGACCACTGGAGTTTTGCTGTATATAGCTGCACTCTTGGTTTAATATGCTGCAGCAGCTGTACTTTACGCTTTTAAGAGTAGACAAAGTCTTCAATTAGTGTGTTTATTTTGGTGCTAACTTTATAACCAGCATTTCTCATACAACCTTTAAAAAGAGCAATTCTGCCACACTTCTTTTCCTACCCTTACACAGTACATGCTCTTTACCATCAGTTTAACATAGTTTAAAGGTATCTTGCCAGTTTTCTAGACCAGTGTTTCTCAACCTTTTTTTATAAAGTACCTCTTTAAAAAAAAAAAAAAAAAAGTAAGTACCTACAGTTTTCAGAAACACAATTTCTTTTTTCTACCATTGCAACACATTTGTTTAAACAACTTAATTGTAGCTGTGCAGGCGATGACATTTTTGGGTGTAAAAAGTACAAAAATTATGAAGTGCTGTAAAACTTACAACAAAAATTCAGTTTTCTCCAAATTTCAGTTGTTAATGACCCCTCCCCCCCCCGAGTTCTATCATGTACCCCTAAGGGTACTCGTACCACTTCTTGAGAAACACTGTCCTAGATAAGTGGACATCATCTCTTAGAGTTCTTAGTGGTTGCAGTTGACTGTAGGTGTACTCTTGCCTTTCAGAACAGTTTAATGGGTGTTGAAAAGCTGTAACTTCAGCCTATTACATGGAACTTAGCACTTATTGTCAGTTGGTTTATTATGGTTAAATTAATATAACCATCCAATAACTATAAATGGAAATACCTACATCAACTAAATAATATTGTAATCACTAAAAAAAATCTTAATCATATATTAAGTAACTCTGAAGTGCAAGATCAGTTGTTTAAAGGCAAGTATTTTTAACATATTAAGCTAATTCTGCTTGACCCTATTGCTGGTAGTTGAACTGCATTTTTAGCTCATCTTTTCTCACTGTTCTTCAGTGCTTTATCAAAGAACAGTTGTATTTAAAACTTCTGGGCTGTGTCTAGACTGGCAAGTTTTTCTGCAAAAGCAACCGTTTTTGCGGAAAAACTTGCCAGCTGTCTACACTAGCCGCTTGAATTTGCGCAAGAACACTGACGATCTCATGTAAGATTGTCAGTGTTCTTGCGGAAATACTATGCTGCACCCGTTCGGGCAAAAGCCCTCTTGAGCAAATGCTTTTATGCAAGAGGGCCAGCGTAGTCAACACGGTATTGTTTTGCGCAAAAAAGCCCCGATGGCGATCGGGGCTTTCTGCGCAAAACCGCGTCTAGATTGGCACGGATGCTTTTCTGCAAAAAGTGTTTTTGCGGAAAAGCGTCCGTGCCAATCTAGACGCTCTTTTCCGCAAATGCTTTTAATGAAAAAACTTTTCTGTTAAAAACATTTACAGAAAATCATGCCAGTCTAGACGTAGCCCTGCAGTTTGGGGATCTTTCCTAGAAATGGTAGTATGCATATCTGATTAAATGGTCACTTTTTATTCCCCAATATGATTACATTTTTCACAGAGAACAGATTATGCCCTCCTCATGGTTTGTGTTGCATTCTTTATAAAGTGCCTCTTGCAGTAGTACTTGGACATTATAAATGGATTACAGAAAATGGAGTGAATTGATGCAGATATTTTTGTCATATTGACTCTGATGTTAACAGGTTTGTTTTCCTTCATTACTAAAACTTCCACTTCTTCCTTTCTGACTTCAGAGCCTCTTACTTTTCCTGTGTCTTGTTGCAAATTAAGCATGAATGCACGGTTTTTAGACTTCTCCTCCTTTTGGGAGGTCACGGTTCAAAAACAAAATGCTGAAATAAGTAAACCTGTGATCCAAAATTTACTTTTCCATATAGTACAGGTGATGGTTCAGAGCTCTGCTAGCTTTTTCTGGCATTGTGGGACAATCTTTAAATATGTTGGTTTTGCTTTGGTTTAAAGTAAATAATCACTGGTTAACTAGGGTTTTGCTTGTTAATCAAGGCTAAGTTTCAAAGTAACTTTGAGACTTTTTCATGATTGAATTGAAAAGCAGTAGTGTTAATGTTCTGCTTTGAGTACACAGACTCCATTACTTCAGCACACCCACCTGGAAGTGGAAAGTGGATAGTATAGAAGTAATTGCTGTTTTTTTGTTGTTGTTGTTTGTGATTTTTAAGAATTCCAAATGTATGGAGAGAGACTGAGAGAGTCTTTGCATGTTACAAGTTTCAGATCTGCTGAATGGCTGTTGTTCTATAAAAATGTTGTTTGGAGTGCCCATTAAGTGTCAAAGAACAAACTGATCACTACTCTTCAGACATAAAACACTGCTCCAAGTCTTGCTCCTTCTGACTACAGTTAATGAAGGTTTAGGGATTTCAAGCTGTACTGTGACTTGATGAGTCATAACTCTGATGCTCTTTGTATATGTATGTTGCTGTTTTCTATTTGGATTTGACTATTAGAGCACCACAAAAAAATGGAAGTGAGCCAGGCTTCACTGCATGAGAACAATTAAAATAACTTACTAACACTGAAGCAATACCTATATCAGCATGTGTGATTACTTCACACAGAACTATAACAGTTAAATTCAGCTTTAGAAGAAGCATACAAGTATAATCTGTGAGCTTTTCCAAATTAGTGTCCATATTGAACTGGACAAAACCGCTTACAACTGTAAGCATTGTTTAATTTTTTTCAGCCTACAACCTGAATTATTTGAGACTGACAAACTAAATGACTGAAAAGTTAGTATTTGAGTAAGAAGGAACTCCAGAGAAACTGCGATTTGAAGTTTCTAGCCATAATTTAAGCTGTGTA